CGAGGTCGATCTTGTTCGCCTGTTTTCGGCGTCTTGACGCCCGCGCAATGCGAGCTTGTACCTCTGCACTCGCCGAGATATGGCCACCTGTGTAGCCACGGAAAGGATCTGAAGAAGTCGTTCCTTGAAGACTCATTTCAGAGCCATCGTTCCTCCGTCCCTTCCTCCCACGGCATGTGTCGCAAGTTCATCGATGAACTCGTAACCCTCCTCTCCAAGGCGGCCAAAGCTTTCCACGGCTAAGGTGGTAAGTTTAAAGCTGCGTTCGTCAAAGGACACGTGTCCCGGACGAGCTTAGTGCTGACGCTTTCGCGCCTCGGATGCTTCGGCTGCGGTTCCATCGCTGGTCGCGCTGCCGTTCCGCAAGTGTACCTGTGCTTGCGGGTCTGCGTGTGTGACATCGAGGAGTATTCCTTTGTTGCGGTACCCCGGAGAAGATGCGTTCGTGAGGGCTCCTGGCCTGATGACGATGTCCATGCTCAGGTTTCTTTCCCCCGTGAACGGTGCCCCGCTTTCAACGTCGTGTTTGACGCGAAGGCCGTTGAGTGCTCTCGATAGTGCGTACTTTGACGGCTCGTGCATGTTGACCTGTTCTCCATCCCTTGGACAGGTCCTTGCGTGCACCGTTGTGATGATCTCGCGTTCCCTGCCTCTGTGGCACCTGGGACATCTTTCCGCCAAGAATTCTTCAACTCCCAAGGCGCGTCTCGTCGCGTAGACGAATTCGTTCGATGGAATCTCTCGAGCTCGGTCGGTGGGAGCCGCTCTCAGGAACGCGTGCCCCCCTTGCCCTTGCGAGCTTCTCGTTCGTGCGTATGCCATGTTCCTGGCCTCTTGACCTCCGTAGGGGTTGTCCCGCGTGGGCGGTACCGCCTCCTGAGGGACGTGCTCCAGAGACTCCATGAACTTTTCAAGTTGTATCTTAACCGCCTTGCCCAGTTTGTGCTGGGCTTTCCTCGGCGTAGTAGATTCCCCATCGTGTGCTGCCAGTTCTGCAACGGTGGGCTGACGCCTTCCGGTTTCTCCTGTCGGTTCTAAGGCCCACTCAACCCATGACGGGGGAAGGATCCCCTTCAGAATCTCCACCGATACTCCATGCTCCTGGTTGAGTTCTTTGATAGCGTCCCCCATCCGCTCAACCAATACTGTTCCCGGTATCCGAACTCTCACCGACTCTCCCAATGGACCCCGTAACGCGGCTATAACCGCAGGAAGGGTGCCGACTAGGTTGCCCAGAGAAGCTGAGAACCTTCGCATAACGGCTGCTGGTAATCCTAGTCCTCCGGCTCCTGTCGACAGGCGCGCCTGGGATTGTTGATAGGGCTTTAACTTGAAGCGGTCAGGCTGGCAGTCGTCTTGGAAGAACTCTTCTTCGACTTCGGTGTCTCTGAGCCCCATCGTTGCCTCTAGGACCCACATCACCATATTGTCCAGGCGTTTACAAGCCCCTCTCACTAGCTTATGATTGATGCCTCTCTCGATATATCCGGATCGCTGTGTCAGCTATTGTGATGTGACGAGGTGAGCCACCTGTTTGTCTGGCATGCGCACCAGCATGCGAGCAAGCTTGTCTGCACCCCCTTCAGTTATCACTTTCATTGCGATATCCTCGACGTANGGGAAGCGCTGAGCTCTTCCCCCTGTTGACGATGATGCCCACTGCTTCTAGTTCGTCGACGAGGTCCGGTATCACCTGAATATTTTCCTCTGTGATATTTTGAAGTGCAGGCTGATGTCGTCCATAAAAGCTTTCAAGCTTACCCCGAGGCGGTCGTACTTGGCTCTATGCTTCAAGACGATCGGGACTAGGATGAAGCAGAACAGGGGCGGTCATTGTTGTTGTTCTTGTCTTCACACTTACATCGTTTCGAACACTGTCCAGGCCGTGGTCACACAAAAACCCAAAGCAGATACTGAACACAAAAATAGTACTACGAACAAAGTTGAACTTCTGCAAAATTGAGGTCGGTCTGTACGAATTCTGCTCGTTGGAATTTATGTTCGTTTGTTTGTGAGCCGTCACAAGTCTCGCCTGTTTGTGTGCACTGCCGCCCTCAGCGGTCTGTGGTGTTAAAACTGGGTACTATGTTATCCCAGGAACAGCAGATGAAGAAAAGGACCATAGACTATATATTGCTCGTCACGCAAGCCACTCAGGCAAGCTGGTCACCATCACGCAAGCCCCTCAGGCAAGAGCCGGGAGCACACCGCCGTGTGCTCACCTGGGGGGACCGCACTTGGACCCCAACCGCATACATTCCCATCAAAACCATACTTCCCATACGCGTATCCCCCACAGAGGATGTACAGATCGGACTCATATCCAAGTACCACAAACAGCCCCCCTACTTAATACGACGTACGATCTTGCAACCCTTCACGCGCAATCAGCCAACACAGAAAAACACCCCTTGAGAAAACTTACTCAACAAAACTGGCTACACATTCAACATAAAGCGTCTCCATCCATCAGTTTATTCACGAATCCAACGCGTTCGTCTCTGGAAATAATCTCAAACCGTTGACACAAAAGGATCATCCTCAGAAAGGTACCCAACAAATATTTGTGCTACGTCAGAAAGGCGTCGGAACGAAAACGGATATTTCTGGAAAAAACAACTATGCAAGAGTTGGCACCAAATCGTCAATCATACAAAACAAAAATTCAACTTCTTGACCAATCAAAACGAGAATTCGGAAAGCACAACGGCCCCAACCATTGATCGTCAAAACATGTCAAATCCTTCCTCCAATACAGTGTCCAAGGACCAAATCCTAAACAGCGCGCACCCGCTAATCGGCACAGTCGCTGTTGTCCAAGAAACGATAGAAAACGTAAGCAAGTATCCACGCAAACAGCCCCCCTGCTGTCAGCTCCCAAAATTCACCCCGGGGTAATATTTTGATGCCAACACCCCCCTTGCTTTGCCGTTCACCTAACACACGAGTAGGCGCGACCAGAAAACAAACCAATTCGAAACACACAAGACATCAAACTCCAGAAAAGTTCGTACCGTCTCCTCAACTGGAACTCCGAAAGCTCCCCTGCACCCTGATCGGTATGCCTTCATGCATGTCAAACAACGCGCTATGATCCCATTCCGTGCGCACGGCCAGAAACACACCGCAGAGAGCGACCACTAAACTCAGGACCTCACATTAAACCAAAGTATCGAAACATTCTAAGTGCAAAGGTGTCTAGTTCGTAGAAAAAAAAAAAACTCGACTGAACGTACTCCCTCCAAAGAATACGGAAATAGTATGAAGCACTCAGCTGCAAGGTTAAACGCGACTTAAAATATACCAAGAACCAAGGAAAAAAAAATACCCACGTGCTGCTTCCTATTCCACAGGTTGTGGCAATGATTATCTTGTCGCAGCGTACAATTATCATCATGAAACCAAGTACAAAAAAAAAAAACGCACACGCCGTGGCATACATGTGTTTTCTGCATCAAAGTGCACGGTGCGCTGGCAAGGGAAGAACATAACGAAAAAATATATGCGGAGCCACATGGCGAAGCTAAAACGTGCATGCCTGCTCACAAAACCGAACAAAGTCGTAAACGTTTCACATGTTCTCCCACTTGGTTGTAACAAGGTGAGGTCGTCGCTGTCACCGTGTCCTCCCCGTTCCCGGTCGACTCGAGGGCGCCACCGCTGCTGCCGCCGCTGCCATCACCGCCGTTGCCGTCCCCCCGCCGCCACGACCGTCATGAGACCTAGCGCCAACACGGCTGCCGGTGACGTCGCTGCTGCCGCCTCTACCACCGCCGCCGTGGTCGCCGCTGCCGCCGACGGGGCTCTGGCCAAAGCCGCCGCTGCCGTCGTCTGCTGCCGTCGGAGCTCTGGCCGAAGCCACCACTCCCGTCGCTGCTCCTGCTGAAGGGGTACGCCATCCCTGGTACCGCCCCCCGACTCCTCGCGACATGCGAACATGTCGTACCGGGGTCGAAGGGGTGCGTCGGGGCTCCACACCAGGTTTCATCCAACCCTCATCCCCGCTCCCATCACCACCGCTTTCCTCGCTGCTGCTGCCGCTGCTGCTGCTGCCGCTGCTGCTGCTGCTCACGTCCCCCTCAGCCTTCCCGGGGTCGAAAAGGTGCGTCGGGGCTCCACTCCATATTTCATCCAACCCCACGTCCTCGCTCCCATCGCCGCCGCTGTCCTCGCTGCTGCAGCTGCTGCAGCTGCTGCTGCTGCTGCTGCTGTTGCTCACGCCCCCCCCAGCACATTGGCTATCAAGCTCCTCGAGGTCTGGCAATGGCATGGTTGTCGCACCAACCGCTTCCTCCAACTTTTCGTCATATACCTCCGTCACCGGTGCCGCCGCCGCCGCCCCTGCGGCCGTCTGAACACCCGCGCCAATGCGGCGACCGGGGACGCCGCTGCGGCATACATACCCATCACACCCATACTTCCCATACGCGTATCCCCCACAGGGGATGCACAGATCGAACTCGTATCCAAGTACCACAAATGCGAAGAATCAATTGGTTCTGAGGCACCATTGTCGCCCCACGTTGCTGCTACATACTTTGTCGGCGTGTGGTCGAAGAAGAAAATAACATACATTTATTGGGAGTCTCCGTGCAATCAAGGCAGAGGACCCGGGCCGATGGAAACAATAAAAAGTCAAAATACACCGAAGTTGGGCGAGAGCACCGGCCGCGGCTGGAGGCCTCCCTTAATCCAATACTGCAGTTTATGCTCCACTCCAATGAAAAAAATACCTCGACGTTCTAGAGAAGCAACTCCGACAGGGGCAGCAGTTCAACTTCGGAGTCGAGGGACCATGGAATCCTTCTCACGATATAAACAGACACCCAGGTTTTCGTTCATTCCCCTGACAGCTCTACAGAATTGCGGACGGGCCCTTACGATCACCTCTACAACAAAAAAAATAGATCCCCGAGATTCAACCGATTCTCATTATTGCCACGTGGGGAACTCAGAAGCGGCAGTCGATGAGGTTGTGTTGCTTTTCTCTGTGTTGTTGCTGCTGCTGCTGCTGCTGCTGTTGGAATCACTACGAACTACGATTCTGTACCATTAACTACATAACATTTGTCTTGTGTCACTACATCCTGCGTTCAAAACCCATTTTATCCCCTCCGCAGGAGGTATCTTTTTTAACTTGAATGAAAAGACCCAAGGCGAGCATTGGCTCGTGCAGACTAACGATCTTCCTGAGAACATTGTCTACGCCTAGAGAGACGACAGGTACGCGTGGGACAAGCAATTTTCTCCAAAGAACAATGTTTATGTGAAACAACATATTCGCACGATTGAGAGCGAAGTATCTGATTGAGAGCGAGATCGTGCGATACGATGTAGCTTGTCTACTGCTGAGAGGTAGAGCTTGCTGTGCGGCTTGAATTGAAGGGCTTGTCCATAGATAGCTACAAGCCGATACCCGGGTCATCCTGCGGGTGTCTCGCGTTGTGGAGCTACACCGCGGAGCAGAAGCTACGGGAGGGCCTACCGCGCCAGGCGACGGCGCCCTGAAACAGTTTCGGGCAGGAATAGCCAATCTGGGGAAATCTAGCAACGTGCGTAGCTCCTCGCTGCTGCAGCCGATCGCATTGACACGCATATGCACGCGAAGCTGCTGAAGAGAGCTTCAATTTGCGCCGCTTTTTGGAAGAGCCCGTCCCCTGCTTCCCGAGAAATGACGGGAGGCGTCTGGACCCGAATTTCGATTTTTTTTGGTTCTCGCTCTCAATCGGAAACTTCGCTCTCAATCGTGCGAAAACCCTGTTGTGAGCCGATGCACACTTGCCTTTGACCAACGATGGGCCCAGGCACTACAGAATGTTGCTTTTTTGTGCTGTCACACCGTGGACGTCACTTCATTTAGGGCACCCACAAGTGAGACCAAAATTCAGGGTGAACAGCGGTTGCGCTGGATACAGGCCTGAAAGATCGTTCATTCGGGCACAACCTCACTCGTTGAGTTTTACACCCACCACAACCCGTTGTGATAAGGGCCACATAAACAAAAAGGTCATGGGCTAAGGGATGGTTGTACAGCATTCAGTACTTTCCACTCGTACTCGCCCGTGATCACGCGAGTAAAAGGTGGATGGAAGAGAAAACGGTACACAAACAAACGTGGTGATACAGGAGTATTTAAATAGTATAGAGAGAGGTAGACTGCAGCGTCACTGCTGTTGGGTGTGATTGACTCCATTTCTCCCCGAGGAGGTGTGCCTTCAAAGCGGTCCTGGCACCTTCTAGAAATATCTGTCATGAAATTACCGTTCCTGATGTGCACAGATAACGCCCACGATCTGTTTACGACGCAAACATCTTATTTCCCAATCCACTCTCTGTAGTGTGCGCGGCTTACATACAGATACCACACTTGAGCAGACCAAAGCACTCCTCCTCCCGTTCAGATATTCTTACCGCGTGGGTTGCGCGCGCTTCCAATCATCTCTTGTGAGGTCGGCGAAAAAAGAGATATAATGCTCCCGGCCTTCCCTCACCCTCTTTGCTCTCCTCTCACCATCGTGCCCTGAGGACAGAGCGTGTATAGTGAGAGGAGGGGGTCAAGCAAGGCAGCAGGTAGGTGCAGTGAACGGTCCTCTTAAAACAGTGCACGGGGCCATCAAGAGGTCGTGAGAGCAGCAGAGATGAGACCCGCAGATGACAATGCCCACCAGCGACCCTTGTGCTAGAGCGACATTGGATCGGTACAAGTAGACTACAGGTCCTTCTGGTCGATCTCCTTACCCCATCTTCCTCAGCACCCGTTCCACAGACTTCGCCACGCGATTCAACTTCGCTGCAGCAGCATGTAGTCTGATCTACTCTCTCATCCGCCGCACGCACGCCCGACTCTGCTTTCCCCCTATTTTGAAACGATCTTGAAACCGAATTGTACTCTGGCGCCCCCCCTTCCCGGTCAATATCCCTGTCTTTCTCCCTCTCTATTGTAAGATATACTCGCAGCAGTCTCTAGACGTGAGGATCCTCGGGGATACGTGTTGAGAATTTCGTATGTTGATGGGTACCACCGATGCAGATACGGGGACCCTTTTGGCCTTGGTTGCGGTGTTGAAGGCTCGCGCATCTAGCGCACTGCTTTCGCTCTCTCCACCGCTACCGCCGTCTCTCTCCAATCAAGTTTCCTTCTCCAACGCTTTCTCCAACGCCAACGCAATCTCAATCTCTACCTCTCTCTCTCGGCCTAACACGGCCGACTACCCACTGCCCCAACAGACGCCCAACACGGGCTTGCTGCACCCCGCGTAGTTTACCTTTCACACTAGTGCGAATCAGATTCAGATTCTGCGCGCGGTCGTAGTACACCGGGGGGTTGTGCATTCACGCGCAATCGGTAGACTCCCACAACAAAAACATCATGCCTACCTCGGAGGATTCCGAAATCGACCTCTCCACCCTCAGCAAAGAAGAGCTGCAACAAGAAGTTCAACGAAGGGTGGACGCCCAACTTGCGAAGGAGAGAGCAGAAATCGCCCCACTGCCAGCAGAACAGCAGTCACCTACCATCGGCGAGCAGTCGCTACGTCCCACACCAGCCGACATACCGCCCACCGGCAACCAGCCTTCACCCTCCAGCCAGGGATCCCAATCATTCAACAATCCCACCAACGTCGCCAACATCGTGGCGCAAGCGGTCAAGGCGACAGCCGAGGCCATGTCTGGACATCAGGGCTTTGCCCACACAGGCACGTTTCGTGTCAACCCCGGCTCTGACATAGACCCTTGGCTTGGAAGTGTGAAGAAAGAGCAGGATTTGTATATTATGTTTGATGTTTTTCGCAGTAAGATGGTGTCGTATTTTCAGGAAGAGGGTGTATATGATGTATTAGGGATCACTGATGTCAAGGTTGGCAAGAGGGGTGTGGATCTAGCAGAGCTAAGGGGCATCTTCGGGACTGATGTGGTGGACAAGTCGTTGAAGTTGTGGAATATTATCATCAGCAAGATTCTATACCCTCCGATCCAGAACTTGATCATGGCATGTGAGAGTCCCCAGCAGGGGTGGAAGATCGTCACGAATTTCTACCAAGAGAAGAAGGAGTCTGAGAAGACTAGGCTTGAGCAAGAGTGGTTGGCGTTAGAAATGCGTGAGTCGGAGAACCCACAGGATTACATAGCAAGGTCGGAAGCTCTTCGATTACGTCTTGCCTCAGTAGGAACTATCAAAGACACAACACATGCTTACAAGGACGTTGTGCGCGGCCTTCCCCCATCGTATGCCGTGCAAAAAGGAATATTGCTAGCAAGCGATGTCGTGACTTTGCATGCCCTTGAGACTGTGGTGAGGGACGCCCACATGGAGATGGAGCGCGAGAGGAGCAAGGAGCAGAGGCGAGAGGCGGAGCTCGCCCTCGTCGCGTCCGGTGCGAGCCGGAGCGGCGGGGGCAATGGGGGGGCATCCGGGGGACAAGGAGTAGTCGACGGTCAAGACCGTGAAATCCGTGATGGCGAGAGAAACCGTGACGTGTTCGTCGAAGATCCCACCGGTTTTTGCCGCTACCACCAGTCCGAACTACACACGAACGGGCAATGCCGTTACCAGCAGCATCTGCGGCGGACTCGCACGAGAGCAGCCGCCGAGGATCGCCACGGAGGTGGCGGCGGAGGCCGTGGCGGCGGCTGGAGCCAGCGAGGAGGAAGACCGCCGTCGGGAGCCGGCCGGGGTGGCGGGCGTTGGGTGAGAGTTGAAGGGCAGCAGCACCACACCGGTCATGGTGGCGGTGGCTGGAGCCAAGCCTCACCCCCCCCGCGACCTCTTCGTGGACGTGGACCTGGTGGTCGTCTGGGGCGGCACCCGGGGGGTCGAGGGCCCTCGGGACGCCACAGCAGCGACGGGCGTGCCGAGAGAGAGCGGGCAGGGAGAGGCCCAGGGCACGCGCGTTCTGGCCACGGAAGAGAGCAGGCGTACGTTGTGTACTACGCCCACGATGATGGTGGCTACTACGAAGACTATGGCGACTACGACGACGGCTACTACTACGACGGCGGCTACCACGACGCCGGGTACGCCCACTACGCCGGCGGTGGAGACAGCTACAGCTACCCCTCAGGGTACGAAGACAGCCGTTCATCTGACGGCGGCATCCACTACGTCTACTACCCTCCCGCCGGCGAAGATTCATCATCCGAGCAGCAACGTCAGCCCCCCCCCGCGAGCAGCAGCAGCACCGCTTCCTCCTCGTCCTCTACTCCTTCTCCTGGCGCGCCTCCATCTTCGGGCTACCTCCACCTCTGCACGGCACAATCGGTGCCCCTAGGCAAGTCTCACCCTGACGATTTTTTCAGTAGGATAGGAGTGACGATAGGAGTAGAGTCTGCTTCTAGTGCTTCGTCTTTGCTGAGTGTGAAATCTAGTGAGGGGCCGCCTGGTAGCGAGAGATGGGTAGCTGACTCAGGAGCCAGCAACAGTTTCACCAACAGTGACTTGCACATGTACGACTTGCAGGAGATACCCTCGAATAGGCAGTATGTCATTGTAGGAGATGGTCGTCTGCTGAAGGTGAAAGCAATCGGTAGCATCAACCTCAGCTTTTTCCAGGAAGGTGAAAACGGTGTGCCAACGA